GGCTGCGGTGAAGACGCATCTTCATATAGACCAGCTGATTAATTGAGGTCTAGAGTTTATGATTCATGGTTTAGGGTTTAGGGTTGCGAAGGGTTTAGGGTTTAGGGTTTAGTGTTTAGGGTTTAGGGTTTAGGGTTAAATAGGCTGGTTGTTTATAGAGTTTAATGGCTTATCGGTGTACGAGGGAGGTTTAGGGTTTTTTGATAATGTTCGGGGCAGAGTAGGGTTTAGGGTTTAGGGTTTAGGTGTAAGGGTTTAGGGTTTAGTTTGGCCTATCTTGTACTGCCGGCTAGGGTTTAGGGTTTACGGCTTAGGGTTTAGGGTTTAGGGTTAGGGTTTGTCGGTGGCGCTGTAGGAAGTTGTTATTTCATTCATAATTTGAGAATGCAATCGTCTGTTGAGTTTCGAAAAGCTAGGGTTTGGGGTTTAGGGTTTAAGGGCTAGGGTTTAGGGTTTAGGGTTTAAGGGCTAGGGTTTAGGGTTTAGGGTTTAGGGGGAAGGCTCCGACGAGGTGACCTCGGGGGCCCCGTTGCTGCTGCTGCTGCTGCTGCTGCTGCTGCTGCTGTTGGCGTTGCTTCTGCTGATGTCTCGATGCATGCATGCAGTTTTTTTGTATGTTTTATTCGAAATATTAGATCTGAATCCTTTGAAGTTAGGGTTTAGGGTTTAGGGCTTAGGGTTTAGGGTTTGCGGTCTCCAGGGCCAGCGCCCTCTCTCGCCCTGCAGTCGCTGCCTTTGCTGCAGTATTTTTTGCTTAGGATCTCCTAATTAAATCTTCGTTCATTGTTTATATTGAATTGAAATGAGATACACTCTTTTTTGAGGGTTTAGGGTTTAGGGTTTAGGGTTTAGGGTTTAGGGTTTCTCTAGCCAGGCTCGCATCTGTGTGTGAGTCTATTTCTCCTCGGCTATGAAGGGTTGCTGCCCTAGGCAGCGTTCCCCTCATGGATTAGGGTTTAGGGTTTAGGGTTTATGGATTAGGGGTTTAGGGTTTAGGGCTCAGGGATTAGGGTTTAGGGTTTAGGGTTTAGGGTTTTCGTCCCCTAAACCCTAAACCCAATTACCAGTCGGTGTCTCCTCGTATATTTCGGCAAGGGTTTATAATTAGGGTTTATAATTAGGGTTTATTATGAGGGTTTATTGTTATTTATTATTTTTTATTATTGATTACTAGGGTTTGTGAGTGTTTATAAGGGTTTAGGGTTTAGTTGTTAATTAGGATGTATTAGGGTTTATTAGGTTTAACTAGGATATATATTATTGTTATTACTGCCGATTAGGGTTTAGAGTTTAGTGTTTACTGTTTAGGGTTTAGGGTTTAAAATTTAGTGTTTACTGTTTAGGGTTTAGGGTTTAGGGTTTAGGGTTTAGGGTTTAGGGTTTAGGATGGACCCTCGTGGTTTGTTGTTGTTGTTGGGTTGGGGTATAGCGTTGCTGATGGGAATAGCAGTAATATGTTTTTGTGTATTTGTTTGTAGACGTAAGTCATCATCAGCAGCACATAAGCAGCAGCAGCAGCAGCAATGCAGCAGCAGCAAAGAAATAGAGTTAGTGCATTCAGATTATATACATCTACAGACACCGCATGAAGAAGAAAAACAGCTGCTGCTGCAGCGGCTTCAGAAAGGAGGTTTTGAATGTCCTAGGGCTCTTCGTTTATGTATAAGAGAGCTGCAGATACACCTCGCTGCAGCAGAAGCAACTCATAATGCATTAAAACAAGCTCTTCAACATAAACAAAATATCTTTACTAACCCTCCTACCCTTCTTATTGAAGCCTGGCTTGTGCACGGAGAGCTCTACCCAGAAAGAGACGCAGAACAATACCCCAATCTAGGTATACACCCCAAACCCTAAACCCTAAACCCTAAACCCTAAACCCTAAACCCTAAGCTCTAAACAGTATAGCATTTGACCATTAACCCTAAACCCTAAACCCTAAACCCTAAACCGTAAGCTCTAGACAGCAGAGCATTTAACCCTTAACCCTAAACAGTAAACACAGTAGCATTTGGATTTGCTGCATTTGCTGCTGCTGCAGATATAGTGCTGCCGTTTTCAACGGCTCCTCGGGCTCGGGGTTCTTTTCCTTCGTTTGCCGGCTGTCTTCGTCATAAATCTTTACAAGAAGATGATGTCTTTGTGGGGTCTCTTCCGTTTTGTTCAACGGCGCCCCCTCACTCTCGAATGTTTTTGCAAGCCCCTCTTCATGCTGCAGCAGCACCTCCTCAGACTCCTCCTCCTGCTTCTCCTGCTGCTGCTGCTGCTGCTGCTGCACCTGCTGCAGATACTGCTGGTGGTGGTTCTGGTGCTGTTGCTGCTGCTGCTGCTGCTTCGCACTATGGGAAGCCCTATAATGGCAGCAGCAATCCATGGAGGGGCCCCCTGGAGGGTACTGTAGGGGGCCCCCTAGAGGGTACTACTATGGGGGCCCCCTTAGAGGGTACTACTATAGGAGGCCCCCTAGAGGGTACGATGGGGGCCCCCCTGGAGGGTATTACTATAGGAGGCCCCCTGGAGGGTATTACTATGGCGGCCCCCTTAGAGGGTACTGCTATGGGGGCCCCCTTAGAGG